CAGCAAGGATCTAAAGTGAGAATTAGAGCCCACTAGGAAAGCAAAGCAAGAGACCTCAGTGCAGAAGAAAGAAGAAGCCAGTGGTGACTTCTTCCTCAGCCCTGGTCCCTGCATGGGAGGGATGGCTTGAACCTGCGGCTGCATAGTGACTTTGGTGGTCCTAGAGGCCTCCATGCAGAAATGCATGAGTGGAATGGAGCAGTGGACACAGAAGACTGTAGGGCTGGTTATTTGGGTCTGGACACCCCTCAGGAGAGGGTGATTGGCTGGGAGCAATCTTGGAGAGGGGCCAACTGAGCTCAGAATTTAAAGCAGCTGCAGGCTGCCTCTCTGTATGGCACCCAGTGTCATGGTGCAGCAGACGACATCTCTGAGAAGTGGTCTTAAGGGTTCTCGATACATGTAATAAAGGTACCTCTCCTAAGCAATTTACAGGCATCAACCAAAGAATTAAATGAAAGAAAAAGAAAGTGGGAAGATACAGAAGCAAGATGTAACTTCAGGCTTACAGTTTGACAAAATGAGGGAGCAGTGATGTGGAACAATGTGAAAGCCACCCACTTTTACTCTGTACCAGCAGAAGCAACAAGGCAGGATGAATAAGGCACTAGACATGATCAAATCAGAAATTTTTCAGATAACTACTAAGATGGTAATCACAATGAATGACATGGTTAGTGACTCTATAGCAGATACAGATAAAAAACAAAGGAGTTTAACAAAATGATGAACACCATTAATGCCCGACATAGGAAAGAGATAGAATCCAAGAAACAGATTCAAGAGATGAAATATGTATCCAGGAGAATAAAAATTCCATTGAAGCTATACACATAAGAATGAGCCAATGTGGTGACAAAATATCAGACCCAGAAAACAGTATTGTTATTAGTGATCAGGAAAAGAAAGACTTTTTTTGTTTTGTTTTGTTTTTGTGGTACCGGGGATTGAACTCAGGACCCTGCGTTTGCCAGGCAAGCACTTATTCTACTGAGCTATCTCCCTGGCCCAGAAGGACTTCTTAGAAACACAAAGGACCACAAAAAAATCAATGCAACAGCTGCTAGATGATTCAATGAGCTTGATTAGAGTCAGTGAAAGGCAGGATGATGCAAACCACATACAAAATCTTTATAGAAGTCATGACTTGGAACTTCCCAAGCATGAAAAAATAATTTGATATATAAATAAGTGATGCATATAGAATTCTAATTAGTTATGGCAGAAAAACTCTGTACCAAGGAATATAATAGTCAAGATTCTAAAAATTAAGTGCAAGAACAGAATATAAAAAGCTATTAGAGAGGGAGAGAAAAAATAATCAAATCACCTTAAAGGAAAGTCTTTCAGAATCATAGAAGATGAAACCTTTCAAGTCAAGCAGAGCTTGGAGTGAAGTATTTCAACCCCTAAAAGGAAACAACCTACAACCCAGATTGATATATCCCACAAAACTATTTTTCAGAATTGGTGGTGAAATAAGATATTTCTATGACAAAGGACACGTGAGGAAATTGAAGACCACCAAACCAACACAAAATGTTCTGAAAGACCTTTTAAAAGAGATAATGAGGACTACCACTCCATAAACACTAACAGAATGAATCTACTAGGCAAGGCAAGGAACTAAACAGAGCAAACAAAGGGAACCAACAATAGGAAAATGCCATGACAAGGATAAGCTGATGTGTGTCAGTTATAACCATCAATGTAAATGGTCTCAATTCATCAATCAGAAGAAACAGGATGGTAGAAAGGATCAAGAAGTAAGATCCAACATATGTTGCACAAACAACCTTTAATTATCGAGAAATTCAGAAACTGAAAGTCAAAGGATAGAAAATAATACTGTATGCAACAGAAACACAGAAAAAAGCAGGAGTAGCTATTCTGTTTTTAGACAAAGTGGATTTCAAGACAAGATTAAGAGAGACAAAGAAGGTCACTACATCTTTATAAATGATGTAGTCCAAGAGGAAGAGGTAACAGCCATAAATATATATGTATCAAGTGCCAGTGCACCCAACTATATAAAACAAATATTAACAGGAATGAAATATCAAATAAGTACTAATACAGTTGTAATGGGGGACCTTAATATCCAACTGTCAAAAATAAATCAAACAGCAAAAAAATCAATAAAGAAATATCATTGAACCAAACCTGTGCACAAATTTAGTACATGTCTACAGAGTGTTTACCGTACAACATCAGAATACATTATTTTTCTCAGCTGTACATTGGACATTCCCCATAGTAGACCACATATGATCTCATAAAACATGCCTAATTAAATGCAAAGGAACTAAAATTATCCCATGTGTATTATCAGACCATAGTGCAATGAAACTGGAAGTTAAAAAGACACGAGGCCAGGGAGATAGCTCAGTGGAATAAGTGCTTGGCTGGCAAGCACAAGGACCTGAGTTCAATCCCTGGTACTGAAAAAAAAGTGACAAGAAACTATGAGAACTTTATGAACACATGAAAAATAAATGACACCCTTCTGAACAACCAATGGATCACAGATGAAATTAAGAAAGAAATAGACAGTTTCTGAAATTAAATGATAATGCCAGTACAACATACCAGGACTTATGGGATGTAATATAAATTGTTCTATGGGGAAAACTTATAGTGGTGAATTATCCATCAGGAAAACAGTGAATTCCAATAAATGTACTAACATTGGATCTCAAACATTTAGAAAAAGAAGACCAAGTTAAGTACAAAGCTATTAAAAGGAAGGAAATTATAAAGATCAGAGCAGGAGTTAATACAGTTAAGACTCAGAAAACAAAGAATCAATGAATAGAATAGTTGATTTTTTGAATGATTAAATAATACTGACAAATCCTTAGCCAACCTTATAAAAAAAAAGAAGACATGACTCAAATCCATGCAATTAGGTTTAAGTGGGGGAAATCACAGTAGATACTGCAGAAATCTTGAAGATCATCAATCCCTATTTTGAGGACCTGTATTCTATATGTGATAGAAAACAGAAGAAATGGACAGATTCATAGATACTTCTCAGTTACCCAAACTGAATCAAGAAGAAATAAAAGTTCTAAGTAAACCAACATCAGTCAATAAAATTGAAGATGTAATTGAAAACTTACTAGCAAAGAAAAGCCCAGCTCCTGATAGATTCACTACTGAATTCTACAGGAAATTTAGGGACTTTATGTTGCTACTTCTTAAACTTTTCAATGAAATTGAAAAAGAAGCAGCGTTCCCAAATTCATTCTAGGAAACAAGCATTCCCCTAATTCTAAAATCAGAGAAGGATCCAACCAAAAAGAAAAATACAACACAGTATCCCTTGTGAAAACTATATGCAAAAAAAAAATCAATAAGAGGCTGAGAGCTTTCACTCTAGAATCACTAACATCAGAAACAGGACAAGGATGTCCATCATCACCACTTTTACTTAATATAGTTTTGGCAACATTGCTCAGAGCAAGTAGACAAGAGGAAGAAATAAAAGGAATAAGGATAAAAAAGGGAAGATGTTGAAATTATCATTATTTGCAGATGACATAATACCCTACAAGGAAGAATCCAAAAACTCCTCCAAAAGACTTTGAGATTTAATAACCAAATTTAGTATCATAGCTCGATATGAAGTAAACATTCAAAATTCAATAGCATTCCTGTACACAAATAATAAACTTACTGAGAGAGAAACTACGGAATCCACACTTTTCACGATAGTATCCAGGAAAAAAATTAAAAAACTAAAATACCTAGGAACCAACTTAATGAACTTAATGGATAAACAAAAAGACTATTAAATTGAAAACTACAGTACTCTGAAGAGAGAGAGAGATTAACGAGCATATCAGAAAATGGAAAGATATACTTTGCTCCTGGGTAGGAAGAACCAATGTAGTGAGAATGACCATATCAAAATTGTTACACATATATATTTTAATTTATATAAAATTAAAAGAGAGTAAAAAATAAAAATCATTTAAAATGATACAGAGTTTCAAAACAAGATGATAAGAAATCAAAAATGGTTGTTACATTGCATATTGTTCTCTTCAAAGTAGTTGTTCACATTTCCGGATGTAAGCATGCAAATTTGGTCAAAAATTGAAAAGTAGGCATTAACTGTTCCTTTCAATAAACCAATAGAAATTAATGATACAATTATCTTAGCTGCCTTGTATATATATATTTATTTTTCCCTTCCTTCCTTCATTCTCTTCTCCTTTCCTTCATCCCAGTTGTTCTTTCCTTTTGAGAAGTTTCTTTCCCTTTCACAATATATATATACTGTATATATAGATTTTGTTTAATCTTTCACTGTCTTCCACTTAGGGAGACAATGCAGTGTTCACACACGTGGGTCTGATTTATTTCATTTATGAGTATGGTCTCTAGTTGCATTTACTTACCTATAAAAGCTTGAAGTTTATTTTTCTTTATAGCTGTGTAATACCCCATTCTATAAAAGTACCACATCTTTTTTATCCATTCCTCAGTTGACGGGCATTTGGGTTGTTTCCAAGATTTAGCTATGACAAATTGCGCTGCTGTATGCATTGTTATATGGATTTAATGCAATCTCAATCAGAATATTAACAGGATGTCTCATAAAATTAGAGAAAAGCATTCTAAAACTTACTTGGAAACTAAAGAAACCTAGAATAGCAAAAGAGATCTTGAATAAAGACCAGTCAGGGACATCACAATCCCTGACTTGAAATTACACTATATAGCTACTGTGATTAAAAAAAAAAAAAAAAGGAACACATGAGAAGATGCAGAAACTGCTGCAAACACACTCAGCCATCTTCTCTGATGAAAGAGCCAGATCCTTCACTGGATAAGTCTCTTCAACCAGTGGTGCTGGAAAAACTGGCTTTCTGCATGCCGAAGATTAAAACTAGACCCATTATCTTTCACTGTGCACTAATCTAAAATCAAAATGGATCAAAGATCTAAATATTAAAAGAGACACACTTACTCTGCTAGAAGAGAATAAGTAAGTGCTAACTTCGGGGGCACAAATACTAAAACAGGAACATACAGGGAAGATTAGCCTGGCCTTTGTGCAAGGATGACATGAAAATAGGTAAAATTCTTGAAGACAGTTTCAGACAAAGACTTTATGTACAAACCTTACAGCACAGGAAATATCATAAAGAATCAAGAACAGGAGTGTCATAAAAAGCTTTTTTTTTTCTGTACATTAGGGAAGGGTCTACAGGGTATTCAGGGTCTCACTACTAGATTGGACTCATAATCCGCCTGTTTACAGCCTCCCAAGAGCTGGGATTACAGGTGCATGCCACCACATCCAGTCTCAATTGCATCTCAGCATGTCCTGGGGGTGGAGCCAGCATGGCAGGCCCGGGAGTCAACTCCCCAGCCCCTACACCTGCTTGCAGGTGCTTTAATCTGCTGAGCTATTTGGCTGGCCCTTGAAAAGCTTTTGCCCATGAAAAGAAACCACCAACAGAGTGAAGAGATAACCCACAATATGGGGAAAATTTTGCTGGCTGTTTTTAGACAAAGGACTAATAATTTTGAAATATATAAAGAACTAAAAAAATCGTATTCCCCCATATTTAAAGGCCCACTACAATGGAGTATTACTCTGCCACAAAGAAGGAAGAGCTTCATACAGTTCTAGTGAAGTGGATGCAACTTGAGGGTATACTCTTAAGTGAAATAAATCTTAAACACATTTAAATATACCACACTGTTTCTGTGGTGTGACAGAATGAAAGTGTAAATAAGGATAAAAATGTATAATAGATACTGGAAAATGAGAAGAAAATGTTCAAATGAGAAAAGGAACAGGGAGGGGGAAGAGAAATGGAGGGACAGAGCAAGAAAATAAATAGAAGAAAAAAGGGACAGAAAGCTTATGTAAATAAGGAGGGGGAGAGGGGCTGAAGTGAGGGGAAGGGAAGAAAGAATCAAATTGTATCATTTACACATATAAATTTCCTATGAGGAATATTATTATGTATATCTAAAATGTGCCAATAAAATTAAAAAAGAGGAAAAGACAGTTTTACGTGTGGTCTTTTTTTCCCTGTCTCTCTGTGTTTCTTTGGGTCTGCCTCTGTGCCTATTCTCTCTGTCTCTCTCTCTTTCTGTGTGTCTCTCTGTCTCTCTTGTCTCTGTCTCTTGATGTCTCTGTCTCTATCTGTGTGTGTGTGTGTGTGTGTGTGTGTGTGTGTGTGTGTGTGGTGTCTAGGTCCTCTTATATTTTCATCAGTTCCTCTGATCTGGAATGGTCATAACCATGTGAAACTTACCTCAGTCACACTAGCTACTGCTTGGGCAATGGCATCTCACCAATTATAATCCACACTCTTTGTATACAAACATAGACATAGACACCACGTGTTATTTCTGCACTCCTGGGCATTTGTTATTTGAAGGATACTCTTCTAGTACTTTGTAAATACTTTTTCACTTAACTCTTCTTTTTCTGATAAGGAAGCTCAGACATCTATCCAGTGAGGTGGGTATTTTAATTCAGGGCATCTGAGGTTGAATTCTGTGTAAGCCTGGCTGTGCCCTTCAGAAGAGCTCTGTGGAATGTGCCTTCAGTAAAAAACCCAAATGAGAGGGATGCTAACCTTGTGGGAGGAAGGAAAGTGGACATGAAATGCCTAGGGCCAGAATGCTTCTTACAGTTTACTTCAGGTGGAAGCTCCTTCGGTCTCCCATCCCGTCCTCATTCTCATACAAGCATTTGTCGAGTGCCCACCCACCGCCCTGAAAATATGCGGAGACCCTGGAGAATTTCCTCATCCTTGGACGTGTGTGGACCTGCAGGGGCTGGCAATGAAAGACAGTGTGCCTGGGCTGAGCTATTTCAGGGATACATGAAGAATGAGGGTACCCCAAGGATAGGATACTCTCTGTGCCTCCAGGAGTCAGCAAAAGCTTGCACTCAACCTTTGTGACTCTTATTTTGCTTTTTCCTTCCTTCTCCCCTTCTTTTGTCTCTCTCATTTCTTTTCTGCCTTTCTCTCAGCTTTATTAAAGTACGATTTACATACCATAAAGCTCACCTATTTTAAGGATTATAATTCAGTGATTGTTAGTAAATTTATACTTCTATGATCATCATCATGAATGTGTACTTCGTGCTATTTTGCTGTGAATAGCATCCCATTCTATAGATATATACACTTGTTTATCTTTGCACCAATTGTGGGACCCTAAATATTTCCAGTTTTTGGCTATGAAGAATTAACATTTTAGGGCTGGTGAGATAGCTCAGGGATTAAGTGCCTGCTTTGTCAAGCGCAGGTACCAAGGTTCGATTCCCTGTCCCGCATGCCCCACCAGCCCCGCCCCTGGGGGTGTGCTTAGCAGGCGACAGAGTCTGGGCGTGGTGGCACATGCCTATAATCCCAAATTTGGGGAGGCTGAAAACAGGAGAATCACCATGAGTCTGATTTGCGTAGTGAGACCCTGTATCAAATACACAAATGAAAAGAAAAAAAGAATTAACATTTTTATAGAGGAGTTTGTGTGGACATATGAGTTCTGTCTTTTGAGTAGATCTCTGAGAGTGGGGCTGTTGGGTTGTACCACAAATTAATATATAACACTTAAAAAAGGCTTTAAATTTCTAAAATTGATATTAATCTATGTTTGTAGTACATGACAATTGTGTTCACTGTTGGGAGCTTACACATGTACATAACACATTTCATTCTTTTGTTTTTATCTTCTCCTTTCACAGATGAATGAATAAAGGCAATGGGGTGTTTATATGCAATAAAGTATTATTCTGCCATAAAGGATGATTAGCTTGAGTCACTGGTAGGAAACTTGATACAACTCAAGACTGTAATATTAAGTGAAATAAATTAGACACACAGGCTTAAATATTACCTTGTTTCTTTTATGTGAAAATATAGTAAAGAGCAAAATGGAAGATATATAATAAGAATCAGGAAGCTCTTTCCCAAATAGGAAAGGATTGATCTATAACGTTTAAGGAACTGTTTTCCAAAGTGGTTGTACCATTTTACAATTTGAGCGGCACTGTAGGTCCTTGAACTGAATTTTAGAGTGTAGAAATCAACTAGGTCTTGAGAACTTTGGAGGCTAGTATGGCTTTGTAAGAACCAAACGGAGCCCCATACTGTAGAGATTCTGATTCCATAGCTGTCGGGTACAGTGAGGCCACACACTTTTTCAGAAAGCCCTGCGAGTTATTTTGATATGCAGCCTTTTTAAAGGAATCACTGAGCTGGTTGAGACTGGAAACAGGGTGACGGAAGACATGTTGGGAACGTTTGGTACAAAGAGACCCCTTCCATAGGAACAGCATGCTGGCGTGATAAGGGCTAGAACCAGGGGTGGTGAAAGAGAAGTGGAGGCAGGGCAGGGTGCCGAGACAGTTACGAGACTTTGCATTGGTCCCGCTGAGATTTCCTAAGAGATCAACGAATTCACTGAGCTAACCATCTAGTTTTCTATGAAAATTTCTTAGGGGACCTAACATTTTTTGAGTAGAAGGTACTAGGTTAAGAGCTTTATGTGTAATTTCGAATAAGCCTTTCGGCTCATTCTTTCTGTAGATGAGGAAGCTGAGGCTTAGGAGATTAATAGGGCTAGGACTTGACACCAATTCTGTCTGGCTCCTTTCACCCGAGCAGTTTGCCCTGCAGAGGGTAGAGTACTGCACTGGTGGTGTGAAAAGAGGGTCTTGGGATTTCATATTCATGTAGGTGGACTTGTCATGCATTCTAATATTACAATGGATTCTCTGGCTGACTCGCTAGTCTTTGCTATTTGCCCTTCTTTCCAGTAGGTTAGAGGCATATTAAATTTGTCCCGTGGAAATGACAATATCTAAAGTGTGCTATATTTATCTTGGCTTCCATAAAATTCCTCTGCTTGCTTCTTCCTCCTGGTCCTGCTGATCAAGGTTATATTTACTGGCTGTGCTGATACTGGACGCTACACCCTTGTTGGCTGTCAGTCTGAGCTCTACAGACGCAGAAGATGAAAGGTTTCTGTGAATCAGACGCTGGAGTTCTGTGGTAGGGCTGTTTTCAGAGTTGCATGCGTGATGAGGGGAAACTTGTAGTAATTACTGAACAGATGTCCTTAATGAGGTCTCTGCTGGATTTCCAGCTGGCATTAAGAGCTCTGTGTTGGGATGGGAATGTCGAAGTCACTGGATCATTATGTGACATCACATCCTCCCCTTGTTGTCATAGCAGCTATAATCATCCCACTGAACGTGTCCCTTGGGGTGATGGCAAGCCGTATCTTTTTCCATTAATGGAATCACGGTGCTTCCTTCCATGCTAAAGAGGTGAACAAGCACGTGGCAATGCTCTTTGAAAGATGAAAGTGCCTAATGATTTCAGAATATTCATACTGCTGTCACTCTTAGTTTATCAAGTTGTACATGATAATTGTGGAAAAATTATAAAATTTATAAGATGAAAGTTGATAATAAAAACACAAAATTCTATCTGTAATGTCAATACAGAGAGTTGCTTTTAACATTTTGGTGACATCAAGAAAGTAGAAGAACTTAAACATCTAACAATGGAGAAGCAGCTAAGTAAGTCATGATACCTGAACAACTCTTGATGAAAAAGAATATTAATATGAAAATGTGTTAATTACACACTGTTAGGTGGGCAAATTTAAATAATATAATAATGATCTTCCTTTGAATAAATAATAAGGTATTGTTTCAGAAAGATTTGTCAAAATGATTTCATCAAAATGTTTAGAAAAATCTATATTGAAGAAGATATGAAAGTATGCATCAACATTTTCTTCTAGCACTTTATAGTTTCATTTTTATATTTAAATATTTAATTTAGCTGAAGTATATCCTGTGATAGAGATGTAATTTTGTTTTACCTCTAAATTTATTTATTCTTTTCTGATTTAAAACATTAAGCTAATAATAAATAATAGACCACACATATATATACACACACACACTGAATCTCTTCTTTAAATTTATTCTTTTTTTGGTCAGCCTTTTCATATGCTAGTGTGATGTTCCTAGGTCATTGTAATGTGTGGTATATTTTAACTTCAGTGTAACAAGATTGTATTCACTCATTCTTTTCCCCAAAATGTTGTTGG